GTCTCTCACTTTCACTTCCTTGAATTTGTCTTTCTGTGCAAAAATTTTCGACACAGTTGATGCCGACATACCATAGTCTTTACTAAGCACATTTGTTCTAATGTCTTGTTCATGTTTCTTTATGATTCCCTGTTTTACCTGGATTGAAATAACTTTTCTCGATTTCTTTGGAGCCATGCTGGATTCAATTTCAACACTAAAATTTTAAGTTTTATTGCTGTAAATAAAGAATATTTTCTTTAAATCAACACTGCACTACGCTATATATTATCAATATGTAAAATATATTTCAAAATGACCAATAATTTGACTGGAAAACGGAAAAGTAGTTTGTGTTCAAGAGAGTCTCAAACAAGATGTTCCTTCCACTGAACAGAAACACAAACTGACGCCAAGCTTGGTGTGTTGAGTGGCTGTTTGGCGCGCTAAAAACTAGTTCCCTGCACTTCAATTATGTTAAATAATTGTTAAAATGACTAAAAATTTTAATATAAAACTTGGAAGATAGTACAACCTTCTTGATATTTACTCAAATGGTAACGAATTTAAGCCCTAGAACCAATAACTGTATTGGCGAACTAATACTCCAGCTGGTGAGCAAGCGAAAACATGTTGACACGATTTCGTAAGGATTTCGTTAACCGAATTTTTGTTCGTTAACCGAGTTGAAGATTCTTATGGAAGGTAATTCGTTAACCGAAATTTCATTAACCGAGGCGTTCGTTAACTGAGGGATCACTGTACAGTACAGGTACAGTAAAAGTAATCAATCACTAAGAATGGATACAGTGTGACTGAGCACTTACCTTTAATGTAGTCAGCTGAATGCACACGGGGCCCCCATAATTTTCTATTTACAGGATACTTGGAGACTAAATTAATTGGATGAAGCAGAGGAGGAGACAAGGCTGGGTGGGTCATCAATGTCACTTTCTTCAGACAGGTTTATATACAGGGGAAACTTGCTGGTTGAAGGTATTGGATCATCTTGAGGGAGTGAAGAGGCAGCACTGGTGGAACGTGAGGAGCCAGCAATGGGGAACTTCTTAAAATAGATGTCCAATTTAGACTGCACAGTTTGCTTTTTCTTTTCATTATAAATTTCCCTGTAGCAAGCAAGTGCTTCTTGAAGCATTTTGTCAACTTTGGCAAAACGCTCATAATTTTTATCCATTCCCTCAAACATTTGCATCTCCTTATTAATTGTAGCAAATGCCTCTGCCATTTGCTTCACTGAAAAATTTTTGGGGGGTGCAGGTCCTTCTTCTACATTTAGACTCGCTTCTTTTTCTGCATTTTTGTGTGCTTCCAGTTCGATAAGATCCTCGTTACTTAGCTCATCTGTTACACTTTCAACCAACTGCTCAACATCTTCATTATCAATTTCTAACTGAAGCTGTTTACCTAACTCTATTATCTAGTTACTAATCTCAGAAATAACTTCATTTCATTAAATCCTCTGAAATTGTTCACATATCTTTTCAGTATTTTCTTCCATATTCCATTCATGCACTGTTGTGTAACCTCATCCCATGCTGCAATTATGTTCCTTATACATGTCAAAATGTTGTACTCCTTCTAAATCTCTCTGAGCATTTTCTCACCTCCAGTAGCAGCAACAGCCTGAGCGAAGGTCGTACGTAAATAATAACCTTTAAAAGCTGCAATAGCACCTTGATCCATGGATTGGATGACAGAGGTGTGTTAGGTGGAGTGTAGACTACCTTAACATCAGGGTGTATATCGTCCAGGTGTGGTGGGTGTCCCGGAGCATTATCCATAATCAGCAAAATCTTAAATGCAATCCCTTGTTGCAGACAATACTCCTTGGCTCGAGGAATGAAACAATTCATGAACCAACCCTCAAACAGTACTAGGGTCATCCAGGCTTTCTTATTACCGAGGGCAAAATAAGAAAGGTGATTCAAAAATTGAAAAGACATAAGTCTCCCGGTCCAGATGGGTTACATCCAAGAGTCATTAAGGAGATGATGGAGGAACTACTTCACCCTCTGAAGATCTTGTTTGAAAGCTCTTTTCAAGAAGGAAATATACCCGAGGACTGGCGTATTGCATATGTCACAGCTATCTATAAGAAGGGAAGTAAAAGTGAACCAGGAAACTACAGGCCAGTCAGTCTAACTAGTGTAATCTGCAAATTAATGGAGTCAATATTACGAGAAGAGATGATATCCCATATGAAAAAATATGGATTGTTTAGTAATAAACAGTTTGGCTTCATTTCCGGCAGGTCAACAGTCCTACAGTTGATTAGGGTACTAGACAGGTGGACGGAAATTATCGATGACAGTCAGGCTGTGGACATAGTGTATTGTGACTTCATGAAGGCTTTTGATAGAGTACCCCACAAAAGACTATTAGAAAAAGTATCTAGTTATCGCATTGATGGAAAATATCTTGATTGGATAAGGAATTTTTTAACTAAGAGAAAACAGAAGGTTGTGGTAAATGGAGAAGTATCTGACTGGAGAGAGGTCACTAGTGGGGTCCCTCAGGGTTCTGTCCTCGGCCCCCTGCTGTTTGTCCTTTTTATCAATGACCTGCCTGAGGCAATTAAACACGACAGTGAGGTATATCTATATGCGGATGACACAAAGATTTTTAGGAAAATAGAACGAGATGAGGATTGTGACATGCTGCAGGAGGACCTGGATGGGATGAGGGGATGGACTGAGAAGTGGATGCTGAACTTTCACCCAGAAAAAAGTAAATACATGAGGATAGGAAGAACAAAAGTTGCTGACCATGGATATCATATGTACACCACGATCAAGAAGACCACTGTAGAGAAGGATATAGGGGTAATCATCGATGATAAGCTGACGTTTTCTGACCATCTAGCTGAGAAAATCAACAAGGCTAATAAAATAGTGGGCATTATTAGAAGAACTTTTGTTCATCTGGATGCACCTATATTCAAGGCTCTGTACACTGCTCTGGTTAGGCCACGCCTTGAGTATGCTAATCAAATTTGGTGCCCATATCTCATTAAGGATATTGAAGCAGTAGAGAATATACAGAGGGCTACCAAATTAGTACCACAGATCAAGGATTTATCTTATGAGGAAAGACTAAGGAAATTACAGTTACCGACACTGGCGTACAGAAGATCTCGTGGGGACCAAGTGGAAACATACAAGATAGTGTGTGGCATTTATGACCAGGCATGTACAGCAGGAATGTTCCAGATGAGGGAGGCTGACACTACCCGGGGGAACTCAAAGAAGATCTACAAAACAAGAGCGAGGCTAAATCTCAGAAGACACTCGTTCACGAGTAGGATTGTCAACAACTGGAATAGTTTACCTGAGTGGGTAGTGAATGTGGAGACGGTGGAAAAGTTTGAAGCAAAATTAGATAAATACTGGAAAAATCAACAACAAGTATATAATTTTAGGGCACAATTATCCGCCACACACAGCCACCGTCTGAGTAGAGAAGAGGCTATTGAGCTGGAGTCACAGGCTTGAGCCTCTACCAGAAGATCATCTGTGAGTATCTGTGAGTATGAAATACTGGCAGTGTGTGCTTGCTGACATGTTTAAAAGCCCTGGGGTTCTCTGAATGATAGATCATGAAGGGCTTAATCTTGAAACCAGCAACATTCCCCCCAACAGAAGTGTAATTCTGTCCTTGAATGCCTTGAATCCTGGCATTGTTTTCGCCTCTTTGTGGATGTATGTCCGTTCAGGCATGCGCTTCCACAGTAATCCAGTTTCATCCTCATTGAATATTTGCTCAGGCAAATAATTTCCTTCCACGATCACACGATCTAGCTCATCCTTAAAAGCTTCGGCAGCACCAAGATCAGCACTATCTGCCTCTCCACTCACCTTAACATTATGTAAACTGTAGTGGTTCTTAAATCTGTTAAACCACCCATGACTTGCTGTGAAAATTTGGTCACACTCATCTCCTGCCTGCTGCTTCAGGGTTTTGAACAGGCTTCTTGCCTTAGCCTGTAAGGTTAGAAGGCTTAAGGGTGCTGAACCTTTCACTACATCACGAATCCGTTCCTTGTCCTTCAGAATAGTGGATGTGGTCGAGTGCAAAAACCCTAGGTCGCGTGAAATTGTTGCTACAGTTTTTCCATTTTCATACTGCATTATTATCTTCATTTTCGTCTCAAAAGTAATTGACTGTCTCCTTTCCTTCTGAGCTCCACTAGCACTCTCACGTGTACGCTTTCCAGTCATTATAAAATCAATTAAACACGAAAATATGTCAGTACACAGCTCGATCACTTGCGGATACGACAGCCAAACACCAACTAAGCGCTCTACTGCGTGGGTGCTGTACCAACGCGGAGACCCAAGCCGCGCTCTCGTCTGGGACGGAAACATTTCGGTATAGAAAATGCGCGTGTCATTTGAAAAAAATTTTGGTCCCGACTGCGCGGTTGTATGTGCGGATGGCCGTTACGGACTGAGCAGGGCGTAAGTGCGGGTGGACGTAGGTCGGGTAGGTTGTAAGTCGGGGAGGAGCTGTATATATAGTGGCAAAAACTAAATGAGAAAGATTTTGAAATTATTTTTTTATATTTTCCTCAATTTACTAGCCTTATTATTACTCATCAATTTTTTTAGTTTACCACCTTGTAGATTGACTGCAGGGAAAACACTAACGTTGTAAGGTGTCGTTCTATAGACAGTTGCCATGTTGCTAATTCATGATGGATTGCCACGAGAGAGGAGGCCTACCAGAAGGACATGCTAAAATGTCAAGTATCAATCAGAATTACTAAATTTTTCATGAATTTTTCTCTTAAGTGATGCAATTTTCACGTCGGTGCCAATTAGACGAGAATATGATTGACATGTGGTACACTTCACCATGTGTGTTAAGTGTTAAAGAAATATTTCAATTAACCTTGCATCTTTTCCCTGTATTTCAATTTCAGGACTGTGAGGTTGTGTTGCAGTTTTCTGTTTACACAGAGTTGAACACTGATAAAAACCAGTTTTCTTTGTCTTCCACAGATAACCTTTCCTGGAGTGAAGCAGAGAACCTTCCATATCTTGTTACAGTACATGTATACAGACACTATCCCAACACTCAAGATTCGTGAGTGTCTCCCCATTGTAGAGCTCGGCAACCGCTTGTGTCTTCCGCGTCTCATATCCTTGGTTGAAATCGAGATCATTGATCTCTTCCAGCGAGTGATCCAGGCTGGTGGTGATGTTAGTGAAGACTGCATTTACTTATTAGAGCCTCTGCAGGTAAGTTTGTTTTCTAATATTGCAGCATATCATCTCTTTATGGCCTGGAGCAATGTGAAGGTTTTGTATTCATAAGATCATCAAGATTATCTTGGTGATGTGTATATGTCAATTGATGTAGCATTTTTGTTGTTATTTGTGTTAAAAGATTGAATTATTCTTTCTACATGACTAAAGCTAAGCTGTGTAGGTAGACCAGGCTGCTGTCTGTTCCAGATGCATGCTTACAACTTGTTACTCGCAAATGCAATTCCAAGTGTAGAACTGGTCACTGCACCTGCAGCAGACGGGACCTCAAGTGCACCCCTTCCTGCAACAGTGATGCCACTGTCAGCTGCAATCCAGCATGCTGGTGAACATTTAGAACATCTATTTGAACATTTCCAAAATGTATGACAGCATTATATCTGTGGTGGGATGCAATCCTAAACAAGGTTCTTCAAACTCCAGAGCACGAGCAGTAGATATATTCCATAAGTAGTACAAGACTTGGCAGGATAACCAACCGATACAAAACAGGAGCCAGCACAAGGAACTCCTCGTCGTAACCAGGCCTGGGCCGATCTGAGGGAAGTTAGCTAGCTAGGCAGGGAGAGTTGCTAGACATTACTAGGACAATAAATGGGACCTTCTAGTTACTTGACTAGCTCGGTACAGACATGGTACATCGGGACATAGTAGGTAGACATAGGCATTAGACATAAGCATAGATATCAGACATGCTATAATAATATAGTGTAATACAGACATGTGAATAAATGGTACAATGAATGGTAACAGAGTCTTGCCGTCAGGCGTGTTCACATATCTTGGTATTTACATATCTATACAATATCATACCCAGAGACGGTGTTCTCGTCTGTGAGGCTTCGTCTTCCTCATAATCCTCATTTGAATTCCCCAGCAAATCCTCGTAGTCGGACATCTCGTGTTTGGTATGGTTGCGATGGGAAAGACAAGGAGAATAAGGTGAAGTGCTATGTTTTCATTAATGTACTTGCCTAAGTGCAGGAACTGGCGGGCAAGTAAAAGAGTTTTGACTGTAATATTTGTGAAGTTGAGTGGAGGAGGCTGGCGGCGGTGATACTGGTCTCTGTATTCCTCTGCGCGCCCGGGCGAGATGTCGGTGATGACTCAGTCGAGGGGGGCAGTGGCTTGCATGCCGGCGCAGACGGAGGATGTATGCCTGAGGTGCTCTCTTGAAAACTGGGCTAAAAGGGTTTCTGCTACCTGTAGGGGCCCAGAAACATAGCAGAACAGACATGGAAGGCACTGCACTTCACTTAGGGCACTTCACTTGGTCACAAAGCACTTTAAATCTAGGGGCACTGTAGAGTACATCTTCTGGGCGGGAAACAGACGAGGCCGGCTCTTGCAACTTGTCAACTGTCGTGTTGGAGCTACTCAACTGCGCCATGTGGTGGGATGCAATCTTAAACAAGGTTCTTCAAACTCCAGAGCACGAGCAGTAGATATATTCCATAAGTAGTACAAGACTTGGCAGGATAACCAACCGATACAAAACAGGAGCCAGCACAAGGAACTCCTCGTCGTAACCAGGCCTGGGCCGATCTGAGGGAAGTTAGCTAGCTAGGCAGGGAGAGTTGCTAGACATTACTAGGACAATAAATGGGACCTTCTAGTTACTTGACTAGCGCGGTACAGACATGGTACATCGGGACATAGTAGGTAGACATAGGCATTAGACATGAGCATAGATATCAGACATGCTATAATAATATACTGTAGTGTAATACAGACATGTGAATAAATGGTACAATGAATGGTAACAGAGTCTTGCCGTCAGGCGTGTTCACATATCTTGGTATTTACATATCTATACAATATCATACCCAGAGACGGTGTTCTCGTTATGTTGTGTTCTATGCTGCTTTCTGAGATAAGAGTACAGGAGTACTTTTGTTTTATATTTTGCTATGCATCTACTGCATGTACAGTATAAAGTTAAAGTGCCCTGTATAACATTGTAATAAACATCTGATTACTTTACAACTGCTTTTTATGAAAGCTATGGTTGATTACTTGTTAATTCACATGACAGTGACAAAATACCCATTTTGACCATTAATTTGGGCATCCACCTACATATTTCCCCTATCCCATAACCAATTGATCCTGCATAGATGCATATTAAAAAAACAAAAATACTGTCAACAAATTTTTTTGAAGACTTTGTTTGTCTACTATTACAATACAGTACTGTACTGTATATGTAAATATCCATATTGTTTAGGTGCCCCCCCCCCCCCACTTTTTTTTTCTTCAAATTCTGGGATGCAGATATAAGTTAGCAAGATAGTTACAGTTTAGTACCAAATAGTCCACAATACCTGTTCCTGTGATCAAATACGTTAACACTCTTGGGTTAGGGTAGGCTCTCTCCTGCAAGACACTCTGGGTCTGACCGGTTACTCACTTGACTGCATCACACGAGAAATAATTGTACGTAATGATTTGTAGCAAGCTGGATACTTTAGATAAAAAGGTGGGATTTGTTGCATTAGCATTGTAAATAAATTATCTATAAACAATTTTATATAAGCATCACAATAAAATAATTATTTCTATACGTAAGCGCAAGTAGAATGCAAGATTTTTGTGTACTCTTAATGAAAATGTTTGTAGTTAACTTTATACCTTCATTATTTCATGTGATTGCAATACAAACCTTATTCCATTATAAAGCGTCAATGTTTAGGGAAAATATTTATAGAAAAAAAGTTGTGAAAAAATTTGTATTTTGCATTCTGGTGAGCATGTCCAAGAACCACACCATCACCATGTGGTGCAATCTCCTTGCAATTTTTATGTTTTCCCACCCCTCCACTCTCACTGGCAACACAAGGCATGGTTTAAAACTTTCTCAACACTATATTATGAATAAATGAAATCACTGTAATACACAAGAAATCAGTACAAATGTGTGGAAGATGTGGATCAACATTTTATCCTGGGTCCTTTAAACACAAAAGAGAGACCGGTGTGGTAACCTTGGAGTGCAGTCTACATAGTTGCCAGATCACATTGACTTTGCCAAACGTGCATCTTGCATGTCTAGCATTCATACGAAAAAAAAAATTACGTCATACGGAAATTTGTGTATGAAAACCCTAAAGCAATAATTTAGATCATACTCAGTTTTGTGTATGAAAACCCCAAGAGTGCTAAGATGGACATAAAGATCAGCTGCTTTGTGTGAATAGGACCAGTTACTTTCCCCTGTTCATAAAATGGGAATGCTGGATCAATCCCTAACTCTGTACCTTGTAGATATTCAGAATAATTGTCGTTTATTCAAGACATGCTATAGATGAGTTAAATGAATCCATGTACTTATGTAAATTTTTATTTTATTGTTCTTCTCTTTTCAGGTGACTGATTAATCTCTTATTCTTAATATTTCATTCAATTATTTTTCTACTTCAGATGCACAATGCAGACCAGTTAGTAGAGTGGTGCCTGACATGTATGGCAACAAATTATAATCATGTCTGTCACAAGCATGCCAAACAACTTCGCTCACTCCATCCAGAGAACCAGGCATATTTAAATAGGCATCGATGGCCCCCTGTCTGGTTAGTTTTGAGTTTTGTATTAAAAAAATTTTAAATGTAAATGGAACATTTTCTTATTATTTCAGTTATAAATATTAGATGAAACTACTGTAATGGTAAAAAGCTTTGAATATTAATGTATAGTAAATGAATAAGATGGTGGTAAGTGTGGTAAATAGTAGTTTGGGTATAGAAAAAATATATATATCGTGGCTTATGGGCTATTGGTGTGTGACCACAGATCCCAATACTGTATATTATATGCCTGGTGACAATCTGCCCACTATCATGGGACAAGATGGTTCAGCTGCAGGACACATTTTTTAAGAGAATTATGCAAATGCAGCTAAAGTAGCTCATCACACAGCACACCCAGAGCTTTGCAACCCTTGCCTGATAGCTGTATATGATATGTAATGAAATGCTCCCAGGGCGGTTTTCTTTAAACTTAAAAAAAAAAAAAAAAAAATATATATATATATATATATATATATGTATATATATATATATATATATATACATATATATATATATATATATATATATATATATATATATATATATATATATATATATATATATATATATATATATATATATATATATATATATATATATATATATATATATATATATATATATATATATATATATATATATATATATATATATATACATACAGTTGTACCCCACTTAACGCGGTCAATTGAACCCAGAGGGTCCCGCGTTAAGTGAAATCCGCGTTAAGTGAACAACAGAACATATGGGATTAATTCCAATAGAAACCGACCCGACCCCCAAACTCCACTTTTTGAAGGCACATACCTATGTTGTAGTAAAAATAACATCTTAATTTTATGATGGTACATGCACACAATTAATACTTAAGAGAAATAGAGAAATACAGTCGCCAAGTTAATGTCCATTCAAATAATGGACTCAACTCCCTCCCCCTCTCACACTACACTGCCGGCTCTTCCCTCTCAGAGAAATTTTTGGGGGAAAACCACTAAATTTTAATAAATAATACCTCAAACTAAAGTTAGGATAATACAATTGACATTGCTGGATTCCTTGTAAGACCAGGAATATTTTGAATATAAATGTCATATATTTTGCACAAAAGATAACATAGTTACCTAGAGAAAATTTTTTATCTAAAATTTGTATGTTTAATGCAAAATATATGATGTTTATATTCAAAATGATCACCAAATTATAAGAATTCCAGCAATGTAAATTATATTCTGACCGGGTAATTTGTATGAATTTTATGAGCTAAAACAAATATCTTCAGTTAATGAAAAAATAATAATCTTCACGACACTATCTGTCAATCAAAGTACCCCACCTTGCCTCCCCCCCTCTTCCAACCGCGCGGTCAGTCCCAACCCTCCCCCCCACCCCCCACCAATCCTCCCTTCCATGGTTTTTAACATTTAGTATTAAATAATACCTCAGATTAAAGTTAGGATAATATAATTGACATTGCTGGATTCCTTGTAAGACCAGGAATATTTTGAATATAAATGTCATATATTTTGCACAAAAGATAGCATAGTTAATTTGAGAAAAATTTTTATCTAAAATTTGTATGTCTAATGCAAAAATATGATGTTTATATTCAAAATGATCATCAAATTATAAGAATTCCAGCAATGTAAATTATATTCAGACCGGGTAATTTGTATGAATTTTATGAGCTAAAACAAATATCTTCAGTTAATAAAAAAAATAATAATTCTTCACGGGGTAACAGATGGTCGGTCGGTCCCTCCCTCCCCCCCACCCCCCACCAACCGTCCCAAGGAGATGTGTGGGATAACCACTAAATTTTAATAAATAATACCTCAAACTAAAGTTAGGATAATATAATTGACATTGCTGGATTCCTTGTAAGACCAGGAATATTTTGAATATAAATGTCATATATTTTGCACAAAAGATAACATAGTTACTCTGAGAAAAATTTTTATCTAAAATTTGTATGTCTAATGCAAAATATATGATGTTTATATTCAAAATGATCACCAAATTATAAGAATTCCAGCAATGTAAATTATATTCTGGCCGGGTAATTTGTATGAATTTTATGAGCTAAAACAGGCAGTCAGGCAGGGTGGCGGGTGGGGCAAATCTAAAAATAGCGTCTCGAGCCGGACACTCACCGCGTATATGTGGAAAAAATCCGTGTTAAGTGAAAGTTCAGCTCTGGCGAGGCACCGTGTAAGGTTAAGTGAAACTTGGGGTAATACTGTATATATATATATATATATATATATATATATATATATATATATATATATATATATATATATATATATATATATATATATATATATATATATATATATATATATATATATATATATATATATATATATATATATATATATATATATATATATATATATACAGTCAACCCTCACTTTACGCGGTTAATGTAACCCACAGGGTACCGCGGAAAGTGAGAAACGCGTAAAGTGAATAACATAACATATGGGATTAAATGAAATAGAGACCAGCTGACCCCCAAACTCCACTTTTTCCAACACAATACCTATGTTCTAGTAAAAATAACATCTTAATTTTATGATGGTACATGCACACAATTAATACTTAAGAGAAATAGAGAAATACAGTCGCCAAGTTAATGTCCATTCAAATAATGGACTCAACTCCCTCCCCCTCTTCTCACACTACACTCACTGGCTCTTCCCTCTGAGAAATTTTTTGGGGGAAAACCAGGTATAGTAATAAATAATACCTCAAACTAGAGTTAGGATAATATAATTGACATTGCTGGATTCCTTGTAAGACCAGGAATATTTTGAATACAAATGTCATATATTTTGCACAAAAGATAACATATTTACTCAGAGTAAACATTATATCTAAAATTTGTATGTCTAATGCAAAATCTATGATGTTTATATTCAAAATGATCATCAAATTGTAAGAATTCCAGCAATGTAAATTATATTCTGGCCGGGTAATTTGTATGAATTCTATGAGCTAAAACAAATATCTTCAGTTAATAAAAAAAAAAATATTCCTCAGGACACTATCTGTCAATCAAAGTACCCCACCTTGCCTCCCCCCCTCTTCCAACCGGGCCAGATGGTCGGTCCGTCCCAACCCTCCCCCCACCCCCCACCAATCCTCCCTTCAAGAGAAAGGTTGGGTGAAAAAGCTAGATTTTAACATTTAGTATTAAATAATACCTCAGATTAAAGTTAGGTTAATATAATTGACATTGCTGGATTCCTTGTAAAACCAGGAATATTTTGAATATAAATGTCATATATTTTGCACAAAAGATAACATATTTACTCAGAGTAAACATTGTATCTAAAATTTGTATGTCTAATGCAAAATATATGATGTTCATATTCAAAATGATCATCAAATTGTAAGAATTCCAGCAATGTAAATTATATTCTGGCCGGGTAATTTGTATGAATTTTATGAGCTAAAACAAATATCTTCAGTTAATAAAAAAAAAATATATTCTTCACACCATGGTGCCAGGTGGTCGGTCGCCGGTCCCTCCCTCCCTCCCTCCCTCCCACCCCCCACCAACCGTCCCTACCAGATGAATGTGTGGGAATACCAGACTGTTTACCTTTTTAGTAATAAATAATAAATCAGACTAAAGTTAGGATAATATAATTGACATTGCTGGATTCCTTGTAAGACCAGGAATATTTTGAATATAAATGTCATATATTTTGCACAAAAGATAACATATTTACTCAGAGTAAACATTATATCGAAAATTTGTATGTCTAATGCAAAATCTATGATGTTTATATTCAAAATGATCATCAAATTGTAAGAATTCCAGCAATGTAAATTATATTCTGGCCGGATAATTTGTATGAATTTTATGAGCTAAATAAAAAAATTATATTTCACCCGTGTAAAGGGGTACACCCACCGCGGAATGTGAGCATCTTTGGTTCTGGCAGGGCACCGTGTAAACGTGGAAACGCGGAATGTGGGACCGCGTAAAGTGAGGGTTGACTTTATATATATATATATATATATATATATATATATATATATATATATATATATATATATATATATATATATATATATATATATATGAAAAGCTTTCTTAAACAAGAATACAATTACTAAAAATTTAAAGATATAAACTGAATTTCAAATAACAAATTTTTACCAGATATTGTGTGTTGAAATTTGCATGATTTATGGATTGTCTTTTAGCAAGGCCACTGAATGAACAACTGGGTATATTGACAAACACCAGCTTATGTTCATAGAGGATGTTGTACAGTCTATGGCCAAAACTTAAGCATTGTTGAAAGTCACTTCTCAGCAAATTGGAGAACAGAGGGAAGAGTGTATTCACTCTCATATAACCTTCCTACAAAAAGGTTATACCAAAGCTTGTGAGTTGGTGATAATTCACATTTCCACAACTCCAATCACAGACAGACTCTTATATTAATAAGCCAAACAATCACCTACGAATCCCACATTCATTTAGAGGTTATCACTTACACTTAACAAAACATTTGTCCTGACATTAGAGTCCCAGCCACATAAATGGTCATAATTACCAGGGAAATCTCCCAATTTACTTAGATGAACCCAACAGTCAGGTGCCAGCAGCTCCTTCAGTTACAGGTTGAGAAGAATAGAGAACAAACTCCTGCACTCGCTAAGATATATGAGGCATGGAAACCTCAAGTAAATCAGACTTAAAAATGAAACAATATATATACGTACCATATTTTATGGCATAAAAGATGCACTTTTTTGTCAGAAAAATGGTAAAACAAAACCCAGCCTGCATCCTTCATGTGCAGTTATGTTTTCCTTTAGGTTAATGAATCCCCAGTTGCTGTCTCCAGTAGGCTAAATTTTACCTAATCAACTCCAGAATTAAAAATGTGTTATTGCTTACTTAAACAAATAATTATTACTGTATTTTAATGAATTAAAAAATGAATAATCATTGTAAATAGTAAAGCTGGATTTATAACTTC